TGGCAACATTTCTACAGCTACATGCACTTTTTTGTAAATATAATTGTTTATCCAGATTAAATAAGAGTAGTTTGGTCAGGTAAAAAAACATTTGATCAAAATTATCAATTTGTACAATACCTTATACTGCAGCATATAGGTACTAGATAGTATAAGATACTATTTTTTAATTGTGACCCTTCCGTTATTYCTAAATAAGATTAAATAATATCGGCATTACCAACATTCAGCAATATCGCTGTATAAATGTCAACATTCACTAGTGAACGTTTACTAAAATCACAAATTTAATCAATAAGCCAACATTCACTAATGATTTTGGTGTACGACGACATTAACCGGTGACTGTTCACAGTAACATATTATGTATATGCATTTGAGACGTGTACGTTTATTAAGYGTGTTTTCGTACGAATATATGTAATTATATATGTTAATAATTACAGAGAACGAAAAAAAGTGGTTGGAAAAACTGGAGGATAAGGMCCGAGCTCTGATTGTTGAGGGTTATTACAGAGATGCGTTCCTTGCGATGTTCATGCCAATTTTGATGTACAAGAAAATTACCGGMMTGGAGTACATTTACAACGTGATGTGGAAAAGCGATCCGATAACATTCAAGAACTGGTACCAGTACGTGCAGGGCCCATCGGTGCGGGCCGCTCTACACGTTGGTCAGCGTCGATGGTTTAGGATGGAAGAGGTCTTCGTTCGGATGGAGTCCGACATACCGGTGTCCGTGGCCCCATGGCTCGCCACGCTTCTGGACGCCGGTCGGTATCGTGTGCTCCTCTATTCCGGACAGTTGGACGGGATGGTACCGTACCAGGGTACGCTGAATGTGGCTAAGGCGCTCCGATGGAAGGGAGCAGAGCGGTTTGGAAACGCGAGTCGTACGGCCTGGCTGGAGCCCGAATGYTGGCAGTGCAACACYAATGAGTTGGCTGGTTACGCTACGACGTACGGTCCGCTTACAGTGCTTCTGGTCAGGAATGCCGGTCACATGGTGCCTTATGATCAACCGGCATGGACCCACAGCATGATCGACCGGTTCACGTCCGGCAAGTCGTTTCACTGAAACGCTTCTATGTGGCGCATCGCTGCCCTATGCAATATATATCATGTATATAATATTAARTATAGAAACTACGATATATATAGCTGCAGTATAACGATGTTGCCTCATTCTCAAATATTTTACAATAAATCTAAATATTTATTATATTAGTATAGGTCCCTATAAAAGATATGGCATTCTTTTATATTTTTAATGTTTTTATATGTTTAATCTATCATATTATACATATTTCTGTTACAYTCTGTATGAGTAATAATAATAATATGTTGGTAGGTCATGACGTGCCATTCACTTCAATGTGAAAATGTGAAGCGACAACATACTGCAGCAGGTAATAAATATATTAATGTACCTAATGTTACAGTTTTATTATAAACGATTTTAATGAATGATAAGAATGATAACATTGAAGATTGTACTTGGTCGATTTTATGTATAACGGATTAATTATTGAATGAAATTATAAACAATTTATCTCGTTATCCCTTTTAATAATTAAAATTTAAGTCATTAAGTTTTTTTTGTGTTTTAATTGATTATTTATGTACATAATTTATAATACTGTATTATAGTATAGTTTATTCATCGTCGCGCACTACGCCACGGGCAAAAAGCTCGATTATTCGGTTGGAGGGAGGGCGATTCCGTCATTGACATAATGACATTCTCATGATGTGTTATCGTACGATTTCGTGGACACTRCACAAACGATTCCCATCATATCATACACCGGTAGTCGGTACGTTAGTACGTACAACGTGCTTGCTCGCCTAACCAGCAGACATACATCACGGATAATGTTTTTATCAGTCGTCAAGAGATTCGGAAACCCTATTTTCGATATTAATTGTTAATTACCTATGCGCGTTTTGTTTTTCTACTTTTAATCATTAATACTAATAAAATACGCAAAACCCATGGTCACGTGCGAAGTGATCAGCGAGCGGAATTACGATTCCAAATAATATCATAATAGTATTAATTATTWTATAAATCAGACCGATATTGTTGACGACTACGCTCGGTCACGTGTACGGTGTACCACCGTAGTTTTTATACCGAGCTGGCCGCGACAGTGAGTAGTCCGTCATCATGCGTCGTGAACTCCAAATGCGACGGTGGTGTGMTGTCGCGTTGTTCGCCGCCTTTTGCTGCTGTAGCTGTTTGGCGCGAATTAACTTCGAGGACAGTCTCGACGACGGGGCACTGTACTTGTCACCTATGATACGCGACGGTCGGGTCGACGAGGCGCGAACCGCATGCAAAGTGCGCCTGGACAACAGCACCGCAGCGGCTGTGGACAGTTGTGCCGGTTATCTGACCGTGGACGAGGCGCTACGTTCAAACTTGTTCTTCTGGTTCTTCCCCGCCGCGAACGGGTCCAGCGACGCGCCTGTCATGCTGTGGCTGCAGGGAGGCCCGGGCGCGCCTAGCCTGTACTCGGTGTTCAACGAGCACGGTCCCTTCACGGTGGACGCGGCCGGCGTTCTACAGCCTCGCCGACACGCATGGACTGTCACGCACTCAATACTGTACGTGGACAACCCGGTGGGCGTGGGGTACAGYTTCACMGGYGAYGATGCAGGTTACAGCACCAACCAGACAGCCGTCGCCCGGAACCTGTACGCCGCCCTGGTGCAGTTCTTCACGCTATAYCCCGAGTACCGTCAAAACGAGTTCTACGTGGCCGGCGAGTCGTACGCCGGCAAATACGTGCCAGCCGTGTCGTACGCCATCCACCAGAACAACCCTGGGGCCCAGGTCAAGATCAATCTVAAGGGGCTGGCCATCGGAAATGGACTAATTGATCCCGCAAACCAAATGGTATACAGCGAATTTTTGTATCAGAACGGGCTCATCGACGGTACTATATATTTATTATCTATACTATCATTATCTCAATAATGTATAATATTATAAGAATTAGAGAAGCATTTCAGTCCATGAAGGTTTTTGGCACTTTATTATTTTTTCAACTCCAATAAGTAATAACTAAAAATTAAAATCCCAAATAATGTCATCTGAGGGTTATATTAGTTTTTTTAATACCTTTATTAAAGGTTAGGTAAAACCCTTTTAAAATTTTTAGTTTTTATACTGATTTTTGTGTTATAATAACTATCAATTATCCATAAGTATTGAAAGCACGCCTATTAGATATTATACTTATTGACTAGGTACTGCTAAAGCATTATTGTGTATGATAATTAATAAGTAATAAATTAATAACAAAGGTTTATTTCCTAATTCAACATATTGTTACTTCATCAAACACATTTTTATTTATTTTTTTKAACTTATAAGTTGCACAAATTTGCAGTTCAGTATATATTTAAAACCATCTGATCATCTAATCCATCTGCCAGTGGTGTAATTAGAAATTAGTCCTGGGTGGGTGAATAGATTTTTGTTCACGCACAAAATTGTAAAATACTTATAATGTTCAAGTACAACAATGAGTGGTAGCTGGGAATGCATATATTATAAAGAATCTGGGGATCTCTATAATTTATTATTCTCTCTTAATTACGCCCCTGCCATCTGCTGTTTGCAGGCGATCTCGATTGATATCGAATTRTTATGGTGCAATGGAAACGATACATTATCTATAAAAGTATAGTACAGTGTTTCCAAATTGATTTTATTTTTCAGTACTATATGTTATTTTAGCAACAAAAACAATTTTAGATGTATGCAGGATATACAAAGATAMAAATTATTCTTATAATGAATATGAAATATAGTCGTATATACTGTATACTTACCTTAACATTGAACTTAACATTGGACATACGTAACACTATGCTGCTATTAACCAGCGTTCCGTCATTATAAATTGGATAGTATAAAATACAAATAGTAATTGTCGACGAGGCCAAGAGGGGTTATTTTATTTACCATTAATCATTGAACAAAAATTTAAAATCAATTTTGAAACACCTAATGTAAATAATTTATTGCACTCACATGTTGTGATATTAAAATACAAAATATTTATAATATTTATGTGTGTATATATTTTATTATAAAAATAATAGGTAATAATTACGAAATATAAAATAGTAAACATGAAACATATGATAGTTTTATAATAATTGCAGAAATMCACATTCCATTATATTTTTCGAATAAAATAAAATAAATCGTTCTTATAAAATAACGTATATTGGACCCACGCTACCACCGTCCACGCGTATAATTATTTAAAATTTTTAAACTGTTGAGAAATTTAATATCTTTGAAGAGAGAGAAACTTATATCAAATGGTTAAGATAAATATTCAAATTTATACTAATACACAATTATAAACCGCATGGCATCACATATGTCAATAATTTTAATAAAATAGTTGTCATTTGAATAAATTAAAAATATTTGATGACCTCAAAGTGATATAGCATTAAGTATGAACCTATAATTTAGATATTTTACTGATATAGCTATTGCTTATTAGTATATAAATCAAGTTGATATTGAATGAAATTTTTTCAAAGTTTTTCACGAGGTGACATTTTATACAATGGAGTTCTGATATCTTTGTTCAACATATTATATTATTAAGTATAAACTATCATAATATTATTATGTATAAAACAAAATATTCCAACACATTTAAACCGCGTTTGARTATTAATTCCGTTTTGATATACGTATTATTATTAATATCATTGCAGAGGACGGCAAACGATTGTTTAAAGAGCAAGAGGATGTGACCCGAGACCGGATCAGCACGCGCAACTATAAGGACGCGTACGATGCGATGACCAGTATGATGATCACCACGCCGTCGTTGTACAGTGAGCTGACTGCAATGCGGAACATCTACAACGTGGTGTGGAACAGGAACCCGATACCATTCGAGGGCGGCTACTGGGATCGGTACGTGCAGGGCCCGGTGGCACGAGCCGCGCTGCACGTGGGCCGTCGCCAGTGGTCGTCGGTGGACGCAGTATACGAACGGATGAAGTACGACATACCGCTGTCCGTAGCACCGTGGCTCGCCGAACTTCTAGACGCTGGCCGATACCGCGTGCTCCTCTACTCCGGACAGCTGGACGTGATCGTACCGTACCGGGGCACGGTGAATGTGGCCAGGGCGCTCCGATGGACGGGCGCTGAGCTGTTCGGGAATGCGACGCGTACCGTCTGGTACTGCGCCGCAGAGGTSGCTGGTTTCGCGACCTCCTATGGGCCGCTCACCGTGCTGCTGGTGAGGAACGCTGGTCACATGGTGCCGTACGACCAACCGGCTTGGGCACACGACATGATCAATCGGTTCACGTYTGGCAAGCCATTTGACTGAAACGCCACTTGGCCGCGAACGCACGTTGCCCATTTATGTTAAGCGAAATACAATTTAGGTGCAGTATTGAAGTTTGCCTATACCTACAAACTACCATAATAATCGCAAGTCTATTTTTCTACAAATTTATTTCAATATTTTTGAAAAACCGTTTTTATTGTTCGTCATTTGCGGTGTGGTGTGATTTTAGTTTTGTGGTTGTGGCTGCAAAATGTTCACTTTACAGTCAAACCGTCGACTGCGATAGTTAGCGATTGCCAATAACATATAGTTTAAACCATGGGCATTTTTGTCGCCTGTGAAGGTTTCGGCCGTCATCGGGGTGTATGCAGGATTGCGTACATATTGGCAACTCCATTCGCTGTTTCCCGAATATAATACAATGAAGTGTAATATAATATATAATATATACATTTCAACATTTGTAGCCTTGTAGGTAAATTATATCACATTCGTGAAGCTCAGTTCTATACATATGCCCATCACTCACATCGACGGTTGCATACATGATGCATGCATGTCCATTTTATGAAACGTAAAAACTTTTACGATTAGGATATAGCTTCACTTTATTATTTAATACTTCATTTATTTTAAAAATTTTTTGCTCAACGATTTATTTTATATTTTTTCAACAGAACCCTGTAATCGTTAGTAACTACACCAGCTAAAGTGTTAAATAATAACGATAATATTTATGAATTAAATATATGTATAATTTCTATGTAATATAGGTGCTAATATAAAATTCTTCTTTAAAATTATTTAAACACTAATATTATATGCAAACAATATGTGATTATTTAAATATATTAAATAATGTATTTAGTTATTTAATTATAATAAGAACAATTGTTTTAATTTTCTCTGTATTAATAATTGTTAGTTATTCAAAGTTATATGTTTTTAGACTGTAGTGTAAATACATTTTTTACTCGATCAAGAAATTTGTAAATTTAGTACAAGATTCCTCATAATATGTTTTTATGTTATTATTATTACTAAGAATTATAAAATAGTAAAGTAGATCAATAGTAATAAGGCATGATTTTTAATTAGTTAATACCACGAAAATGTGTACATTTTAATAGGTTTTATATGTTCATTTTTCAAGTCTTGAAAACTCAATACAATTGTAATTTAATTTGTATTGTAAAGTTTATAAAAATAGTTATAATATACTCAGACCAAAAAATTTAGAAAATTTAATATAAACAATATTTTTTTACAGATATTTTAATTTGAAAATTTGGATGAAATTAAATACTTAAACATAATATTATTATTCGTGGAGATTTGAAACTTTTACGGTTATTATATTTTWTATATACATAAAGTGTCAATGCCTATTTCAAAACAATTAAAATAACTTAATACAATTGCCTTTCTATACCATAAACTTGACTCAAAAGTTGAAAAATAATAACAACATTATTAATATATTAAAATAATCATATTGTTAATATAATAAATGCAGTATTTTAGGAATTAAAAAAAAAAAAAAACTACTCAATAGTAAAATAAATTAATTCAATATAATTATTAATAATAAATATACCTTTTATAATTGAATTCACAATATTATATAATTACTTAGTAACATAGGTTGACAGACAGTCTATGCTCAAAATATTTTTTATTTTTYTTATTAACATAAGATAAGATGTTCCTAGCCTTGGCTAACTACATCCATTGATATTCACAATGGTACATTTTTAACAATTTGAACAAGAGTATTAATTTGTATAGAAATTTAAATTGTAAGATGAATTTGCTATCTAGTATGTACATAAATGATCATTAATATTAGTGATAGTTACGTCGAGACGTAACTGACTATAATTTAAGTAACAGTGAACTGATATAATAATAATTAACAATAAAATTATATATATTATATATATATAACTAGTTATAAAGCTTAATATTTGACGCTAGAGTAACAAACAACTGCTGTATATTGTGTGGAGTTGTTCGACCAGAAGGTCATGCGAACGTCCACATTTTAATCTACGTTGAGGCAGATGTACGTGGAGGTTATAGTGAAGTGAACCAGAAGAGTTGAGCAATGAGGTATGGAAGTTTTTTGATGAGGTTTTTATGTGGTCTATGATTTCCTGGATCTGAAGGTCTTGTGTAGCACTTTATTTTGAAAAATTTGAATTTTACTGATGTGAGTGGTTGCGCGCATTTCTCCCACACCGGACACGCATAAGTGAGTAGTGGACGTAAAATTTGTTTAAATATTATAAGAAAGCATTTTTTTTTTGTATTGGAGATTTTTTATTGCAGATAATAGGGTATAACATAGAAAGGCGCTGATATGCCTGTTGAAGTTTGGATGAGATATATGGGCTGCCGTTTTAGTCGTTTATCCAATGTCAAGCCGAAATACTTTACTGACGAGCTCCGAGGTATATTTACATTGTTAAATGTTAATTGCGCAGGGGGCGGTAAGGACGAAGACTGAAAATAATACCTGTGCTATTTGACGCATTTACTKGGATACGCCATTTATTACACCTATAAGATATTGTATCAMAATGCACTTGCAGATTTGTGGTAATTGCTTGATGCTTCAATGTTACGTGATTCGGTGAATATTGTAGTATCGTCTGCAAAAAGGGCAATATTCGTACGAGAAAACTGGAGGATATCATACGATGGGGACCAGCTTAGAGCCCCAAGGTACACCAGCAGTTATAGRCCTAAGGTCAGGGCAGTGATATAACTATATAAGTACCTACCTATTATTTAATTCAATTTTTATTTAACATACACATTACAGTAACTTACTTTTCAGTGACGAGGTATTCCTCAACACCTACAACTACAAAGAAGAGTAGACAGTAGTTATCTATCCCTCTTCTTTTAATTAATTAATTTTATGAATATCTACTTAATCTATTTTTTTTTTTTATGGTTAGGGCTTCGACAACTGAGGTCATTAGCCTGGGGAACTGTAGGGGAAGGAACTGTAAGGTTTTAACTCGTGGGTTTTGGGCAGAATTTTGAATGGGTACCCGTGGGTTTCTGCCATGCCCGGTTGGGGGGCCGGCGGCCTCTCTCCAGACATCGCGAAATGCCCAAAGAGTGATGCCGCCCGTGACCGAGATTCGAACCGGCGACTGCGTGTGTCGCAATCGACGCCTTAGTCCGCTCGGCCACTCCACCCCCACTTAATCTATTGTTTTTGATTATACATTTATACCCAGGTTATTGTTTAGTCCCTTCAAATTTTGTTCATACGAGATTATATACTGAATTTTCAATCGTATACCAGGTAAATATTAGATATAAAATTAATGATTAATAATTAATTAATAAATATGTATTTATGTGCGGACTAGTGGTAGCAGAGTCCTTTTCAGTAGGCCGTTACATAATCGATATGAGCAGAATAATGTTGAGCGTATACAGTCTGTTGAATTTCAACCTATGTTACTAAGTAGGTAATTATGATAACATTCAAACGATATTCGTGACCTTCTCACCTCTCTCTCTCTCTCTCTCTCTCTCTATATATATATATATATATATATTCTTTTATTGTACATATAAATAGGTGATAACGCTAATTAGTAATTAATACCAGCTAAAGTTCACTGCAAGAATGGTTTTGATATTTTACTCATACGCAAACGATCAACCGACCGCAGTTTTGAGATCAGACCAAACGAAGTCTATGTTGGTGATCAGTAAACATCGTGTTATTATTTAATAATAAGTTAAACGCAAGTCTATTGACACTCGATTTGATCTATAGAATTATACGTTAATAACCATCTTCCAACGATGCGTCTTGAAACTGCCTCATCGTGGCTACTGTGGTTGCTCTTGCTGYTCACGTTTTTCTGCARTTATTCAATGGCAGTGAAGCTATTCGACAAAGGTCTACTCCTAACGCCACTAATACAAGCAGGTCGAATCGACGAGGCTCGGTCTGCATGTAATGTGACGCCCCTGAAGGGTGACATCGAGAGCTACTCTGGTTACTTGACCGTGGACGAGGCACATGGTTCAAACATGTTTTTTTGGTTCTTTCCGGCCAAAAGCGGAAAAGCAGACGCGCCCGTCCTGTTGTGGCTACAAGGTGGCCCTGGCGCGTCAAGTTTGCTCGGAGTGTTCAACCTGAATGGCCCATTCTCGGTGTGTAAGCGCTGCGGAGACGAGCTCAAGTTGCGTGACCACGCATGGACGACTACGCACTCGATGCTGTACGTGGACAACCCGGTGGGGACAGGCTTCAGCTATACTGATGACGATTCGGGTTACAGTAGCAATCAAACGGATGTCGCGCGAAACATGTATACCACCCTGGTGCAGTTTTTCGAGCTTTTCCCCGAGTACCAGCACAATGATTTTTATGTAACTGGCGAATCGTTCGCCGGCCACTACGTGCCGGCCGTTGCATACGCCATTCACCAGAACAACCCTGGGGCCAAGGTCAAGATCAATCTCAAGGGACTGGCCATCGGCAATGGTCTGGTCGACCCTCTCAACCAACTGTTCTACAGCGAGTTCCTGTACCAACACGGGTTTATTGACGGTAAATTTATGTATTTATAATTTATATAATTATATTGTGAATATTGTGAATATTGTGATATACAATACCGTCTATGCTTTTCTTATACAAACAATCATATTATAATATTATTGAAACCAGGAAAAAAATTTCCATTGAAGGTATCCATAATATGTACACTTATATRCGCGGTTAACASATTAACGGCATGGCTGTTCTTTTAGCATAATTACAACAAATTCTATCAATTTTGTATCACTTTGTATAGGCTAATGCTACGGCGTTCATGGCATACCGTGACTTAAAAATCGTGATTGCTATAGCATGGTGTGACATATTATTGTGTTGAAACGTTTAGGAATGTTCATTATTATTGATAAATTAAAATATTTTTTTAAAGTAAAAGATAATAAGATAAGAACTTGTAACTTACTACTAGTATCTAATTAATAAGTAGGTTACTAGTTAGTAAATAGTAATTATAGATTTATACTTTTAATCTATTTGGTTTTAACATTGACATTTGACACACAATATATAATAGTAAGAAAATAATTTTAATTGTAGGTATAGCTAGTATGATAAATGGGATGCAAAAGTACCTAACAACAGTAACTTCTACATAAAAGATAATATGCAATGATAAATTTTTACATTTGTTCAGTACAGTATTGACAATGRATACTTCTTATATCTTATGTAATCTATGACGAATATTTTTTTAAATTGTACCGATTGTAGTATTATAATTTCTCACMGTGGTTTTAAATTTCTTTTTAATATTGCATTATACAGGATGTCCCGCGAGGATTTACCCATTGCGGTATCTCACGAAATAATGGAGATATCGAAATTCTGGTTTTATAATAAGATTCAAAAGGATAAGAACTATTTAATAACTAATTATTTCATTTATTAATTTATTTTAATGTTTTTTTAAAAAATGTAAAAAATATATATTTTTATTTAATTATTTCCAAAAAAATTAAAGATAGCTATTTGGTAGAGTTTATTTTTCTAAAGATAATGACGTTTCAAAATTTAATTTTCATTAATTTCCTGAATTTTAATATTTTTTTTGGTTTCGAGAAAAATTGCGAATTATTTAACACCGTAATGTTATCAAACATGTGACCCGCCGCGCCACGCACATTCCCATACGGCCGGCCGAATACCTTCCGTGTTYCAAATAGTTATAAATTATTATCATATTTTATTTTTCAAATTGCAATGGGTAAATGCTCACGGGAAACTCTGTATATTTATTCATAAGCATAAATAATGAGTGTATATTATTGTGACACAGTAAGCGAGTTTCATTTTTTTTTCGAAAAAACTAACGTTGTGTGACATATATATAATATTATATTGTTTTCTTTCAAATTTTTATTAAACCAGTTTTTTCGTCAACAAAGTTGAATATACTTTAAAATAATCGTATACAACTGGGTGGATAATCATTATTTGTGTGAATTGTGTGAATTAATTTATCAGATACGAAAAAAAATATATTATATGATTTAAGGATAATTATACTTAAAAAATGCGAGTTAAAGAAATAGTGGATATGAAAAATAAAATTGTTGGTTAATAATTGGTAATATTGTACCTTGCAGTACCTAACTAATGAAAAAAAAWTTTTAATGTACTTGAGTTTGATGKTATAACATGGATTGGATTTAAAATAAAATATACACAATTAATGCGTTCGAGTGGCTTTCGATAAAAAAAAAAAATATGAAATATTATAATTGTTATAATATGAATTTAAAATTTTTAAAATTATTAAATTTCATGATTTTGTATRTCAGTCAACGTTAAAAAATGGTTTTTGAAAATATTTTTAATGCCGATTTAAAAATTGTTACAGAAAACGGAAAACACAGATTTGAAGAATTCGACAATATTATTCACGGTCAGATCCTYAGTGGCGACTACAAGGGTGCGTTCCAGACGTACGACGAGATGTTGAATGGCATATTCTACCCGTATCCGACGCTGTTTCAGAACTTGACTGACATGCAATACTACTACAACTTACTGTTGGAACAGAAACCACCGTCGGAAGATGATTGGGAGACGTTCGTGCAAAAGCCGTCCGTGAGGGCCGCGCTGCATGTGGGCGAACGGTCGCTAAACGATAATAAAGTGGTCTATCGCCACATGCTTGGAGACGTGATGCAGTCGGTGGCCCCGTGGATAAGTAATCTGTTGGACACCGGCCGGTACCGAGTTCTGTTGTACACTGGACAGCTTGACATCAAGATCCATTACCGGGGCACCATGCACATGGCCCGGTCGCTCGAGTGGTCAGGCGCGGAACGGTTTCGAAACGCCGCGGTGCGCACCATTTGGCGTGTTCCAAAACAGAAGGATCGAAGTGACGACGGTGACGAGACTACCTTGGCCGGTTACGCGACCACATCCGGTCCGCTGACCGTGCTGTTGGTCAGGGATTCCGGTCACATGGTTCCGGCCGATCAGCCGGTTAATGCTCTCGATCTCATCAATCGGTTCACGACTGGGAAAACATTTTAACCAATAGGAGCCGGTCAGCGTTTTCCAGTCGACTACAATATTTTACTAGTCGATTCGATGTCATATACCTAATAGTCTCATAGACCCTTGGATCATKTGATCTAAGTATAGACATTATATCCTTTGAATTCAAATCGGTTCTGTGATAGAAGGCAATTCACATATTAATAAACATGCATTGTAACCATTATGGACAAACTGGTAAATTGTTTAAATTGTTTATTTCCAATAGGAATATTCTGAAAGTTTTTATCCTTCTGATCTATATTAATTCTACAACGTAAACTGAAAAAGTAATTTCTAAAACAGAATTTTTTCTAAAATAGGTTGGTACCTATTAATGAATCATAATGATTTTTTAGTGACGAAATATTATAACTGTGTGCATTCATTGGTTGCTCAGCATATGTTAACACACGATGTATAATGTAAGATTTACATTGTAAGTTATAATATAGATAGGCCTGTTTATGGAAATTATACAATCGATACTAAAGTAAATATTGTTGGAAGTCAGATATTCGAATACGATATTTATATATAATATATATGTATATTTTAATCAAAACATATATTATACAGATCGAAATTAATCTACCTCCTGTAGCTCATTATACAGTTTATGTTGAAGATAAGAAGCTATGGTTACTACTAATTATAATATAATAGATAAGAACAAAATATAAATATATAAATGTGTGTTAAGATTCAATACAAAAATCTAAAAACTTATTATTGAGATTACGAAATATATTCTAAAAAGGAAAAACGTATTATTTTATATTGAACAATATTAAACAATCTTAATGATATAAATAAATTAAATAAATGATAATGAAGTGCTACAGATACAATAAAACGAAATTGAAACAAACTAGGAATTATTATTACTGCAACTCATTATCCAACTCCAAAAATTAATATTTATACCCTAAGCATTTAATATTAACAATTTCACCCTCAAGTTTTTTTTTTTTTTTAATTCAAACGCATGGAATTGAAAAACGTTGGTCCCAGATGATCCACAAAACACTGACCAAAAGATTTATTTGCATAATTAACAATCAAATCATATTTCCTCGATTCTCTTTTATTGCTTAATTCCTTATGATGATTATCTAAATTAAATTTCTTAACCAAGTACATTATAGAMATTTTTTTATACAAAAACCTTATTGGCAATACTCCTGCAAGTTCTTTATAGTTGGCATTCATAGGCGATAGGCAACAATATTAACAACAATACATAATTTTCAATTTATTTACGTCTTAACGATAAATTTCAATTAGTAATTTTTTTTTTCTTTACCTTTCAATATTCATCTATACGATTTATGAAGGTTTATTATTGTTAAAAATTTTAAATATATCAACATCATATTTTTCATTTTTTATTGTATTTACCTAGTTAAGTTAACTAAATGTAATATATTGTTTATTTATTCATAATTCCATGTACACCATTACTAATTTCATATAATTAGCTTTTAAACCTTAAATAAATATACTACATAATTTACAATAATTGCTTGTCTCAATAATTTTATACGAATTTATGATATCATATATACTTGATATTAATTATAGCTTCGAATTGTCTATACAATGCACCACATCGTCACAATAATCAAYGCTTGCCTAGGAAATCTCTTCAATACTAAAAAGTCTTAATTACATTTTGAGTTTTCAAGTTATTCTATGAAGCACAYACCTACTTAGTACCATATGATTGTAAAATATGTGTATAAACTAATATTATACAGCATATTAATTAAACATATTTATATTTTTTGATATTAAGTGTTTAYGATAAACGATTATTGGTGCACTAAATTTAAAAAAAATGTTGATTATCTATCTTGACTTGTTAAAGTTATAAACGTATTTATTGGCTCTATAACATTTGTACATACATTCGTACCTACATTTATAATTTATTACAACAATTTAAAAAATAATATTTAAATCTCATCGGAAATTTTATCTAACATTATATAAACTGTATGTAAATATAGTTTTTCGAAAATTCAATGTTATGAATTTTTACCTGACCGTATAAAACTATACAAAGTATCCGCATTGTTTAAGGTTTAACGAATATTTCAACAAGTACAAAGAGATATTTTACCATTTCAAACGTTGTTYGAGCTTTATCATTTCGTCAATCCGCTTAGGTTTGTGTARTTATTATTATTTATTTAGGAGTCGGACGTTTGAGCATGTGTGGTGAAAATATTATATCAGATTATGAGAACGATAAAAAAATATTTAACTTAGTTCATATGCAATATGCATAGATGTAATTATAATATATTGTATTAGAATTTTAGCACCTTATATAATTTTAACAAAATTTAGTAGGTACTTACATATACTGTTAGTTCAGTAAAGATAAACTTTAAACGTACGGCTCAAGTTAATCTAGTTAACGTTTAATCAAATCAACACTACTTACATATACCTAATACGTATAATAAATGTAACTTTTAATTCTTCTAATTAATAGAAGCCTTGCACGATGCTTTAAATTATCTTAAATTCAGTAAAAACATGTTTTGAAAACGATTAAGGTGGTCACRGATATATAAGATCTATCATTGATTAATGATTATTATACTAGATGATCATGAAAGGAGTTGCACGTGACAAAATTATTAGCCACTCGTTGATTTACCCCTTCGYTATATTATKTTATATACCTATAAGATGCACATACCTTAAACRCARTTGTTTTGCTCAAATTTAAAATACCTACAAGTATCAAAATATATATACTATCACAACAACCATTACCTATCTACTAGGTATTATTCACAGTACCCGTGAAAACTCCATCAAAATCAGTTAATTGTATCGAATCCTTTCTCAGATGACCATTTTGTATMATTGTAATAATAGATGTGTTAAATTTGAATTCAATGATATTATTTGAATTTTATATTATTTTCGGTTATTCTTTTTAGAATTACAACAAAATAAGGAATCGTGAGATGAAAAATCKYTAGTTTAYAGCCTTGCGGGTAAATAGCATCCATTTGATTCATTTTCGTTAAAATACGAACTTCAAATGATCACAAAAAATTATTATGACTTTCCAGCAATCTTTTTTGCTTGTCGAAGGTAGAAAAACTAATGACGAATCTTGTATTAAGTTTGCAATGTAAATAAAAATTTTGTTTTATAAATGTCTAACTCATAAACAGTTCAAAATTCTAACTTTAGACGTTTCTATGTTTTTTCGATTTTATTAATTAATAAATAATCGTATATTTTTTTATTCTGCATTATTTTTTGTTTGATGTTGTTCTTCTTTTGTATTTTGTCAATCATTGTACCTATTTTGTTTTGCTGTATTTTATTTTTTTTTCACTTTTCGCTTTCTGTTTTAAACATCTTTAAATACTTTAATCTTTTTTTATTTATAGTGTTTTAACCAATAATCATACTATACTATATGGCAAACAATATATATAATTTTGTCAGTGGCCTGTATAAGTAATATTTAATTTGGAAAAAATAGCATTACCTACGTGTTTTATGGAACTATGAAATTGACAAAATATTTAATGCATAAACACGCATTGATCATTGATATAATGCCAATAAAAAATATTTGATTAGAACAAATGTTTACGACGACAAAACTCGAACTGAACATCTAAAGATATATCATTGGACGTCGATTTTACTGATTTAAGATTATTTAACAGGAAATGCGGGTAGGGGTTATTTAAACTTTGTCCGATAATATAATACAAATTACCTAACTACTTATAATCTGTTATATTTATATAAAAACCACGTTGGTGTAAAAATCT